CATACTTTGCTGTATGGTTATATTTGATAACAACAAGAAATCCCTTTAATCTTTACGGTACGTTCCGCTTATAAAATCCATCATATGGTACGCAGACGTTCCCACACCGGTGAATATTTGGTGCTTCGTCAAAGGTGCACTGTTGCTGCAACAGCGGGCCTATAAAACTGTCACACTCGGCCAGGATTTAGGCAAGGTGTGCACGTTGGCTTGCTGCTCTCTCCACTTTCCGTGTGGACGCGAAAGTCCGAGAATACATCTTTCCTCGTTCTTGCCGAAACGCGCTTCCGTTTTCCTTTGTTTATAGCTAATTATGAAATGTTAAATGCCTAATCTTGATTAGGGATTCCCACGAGGCCCATTTTTGAACTTGACCACAAAAGGTCCACTACAGTATCCCCAACGGCAACCTGCCTACCAATAATTCACTAAGATCGAATCATGCCTTCAAGAGTTATTCCGCCTAGTATCCCACACACTATAGGTAGCAAAGCGATTTCATAGCCTTCCAAACAAAGGCAATTATTTGATGATTAGGCGACGACAAACACACTATCTTCCTGTATGGATTTCTATTTATTTCTCTCAGGTGCCACACCCATACGGCAGCCTGAGCCTTATTGGCGATCACGTGCGGACGCCGCGGCAAAAATACCCAACCCTATGTACGCCTCCAATGCAGGTAAATCAGCTACAGGGGTTATCATTTCCGTATCGTAATTTTACTAGCGTTAATTTTCTGCAGATGACTAATTAAATTTTCTTCACTTGTCTCAGGCACCACACCCATGCAGCAGCCTCAGTCACTGCGATCACGTGCTGACGCCGCTGCCAAAATGATCAATCCTATCTACGCTTCTGGTTCAGGTAAATTGTCCCAATTTCGATCGTTCGGCCCAATATTTGTCACTAATGACTATATTACGTCTTTGTTTTTTTTTTCACTCAGCCGACCCACCCATGGACCAGCCCCAGACTGATAACCAGGCACGTGCGAACGACGATGAAAATGCACCCGAGGTCACGTACGCCACCATACCAGGTAAAAGTTTTAGTTTTTATTATCTCTTTTCTTGCATCCTGTTTTTCTCATCCGTTTGTTATTATAAGCTGTGGATTTCTTTTAGGTAGTTACCGTGATTGGTCTGTGGTACTTATTTGCGTGCACATGTAGGTTTTTGTTGAGAAGTTTATAGATTAGCTTGTCAATATACCTACACAGTTTTGTAATGTACCAGAAGCATTATTTGTAAGCAAAAGAGAAATCACTGTAAAAATGCAGGTCCGATTAACTAGTTCCTTACCTTCTAATGCTGAGGTCACTTTTCTAAACATGTAGTTCCCATTATTTATTTCTTAAAAACATTTTTGTGCTTAGTTGTTTAGCTAAATCGTTTATAGTATCCGTGTTGTTACTTTTGTATGTTAAAATATTGATATTGGGCCTTTAACGCCCAATATGTTGACAGATAAGTACATGGCATCTTTGTTTTTTACGTCCAGACGACGCACCCATGGACCAACCCCAGGCACGTGCGAACGACGATGAAAACACACCCGACGCCACCATACCAGGTTAAACTTTTTTTCATAAGTAATAAGAAAATAATCAGGTGGAACATTAACAGGCTCCAATTATGCAAATGAGGTCTACTTTGCACAATAAATACGATAATGCTATTTTTCCTAATGGTAAATTATTTGATTTCATTGACACGTGTTCATTTGTTCAATCTGCATCACTATGTGTAAATGTCGACGTAAACAATAACCTGAGCGAAGTACGCTTTTCCTACCAGACGGCGCGTATCCGGGTGGAGCGAGCGGCTGCCGTGGTGTCTGTAGCTTCCTCCGCGCCCGCCGCAGCTGTCTGGCCGCCGGCATCGCCGTGCTACTGAGCTTGTGCGCCGTGGGACTCGCCCCTCTGACGTTCAGCATCAAACAGGTAACAAAAAGCTTGTTGTGCAGCTGTTTATATGATTCTCAAGGGTACAAGAAACTGCAATTTTTTGTAAGTTTCTTTCTTAAGGCCCGGTCACACTGGGCGAACTTTGCCGGAGCGTTCCTTGAACGGTAGGGACGGGGACCGAATTTCGACAACGCTCGTCACCGCGCCCAAAATGTGGGGGAAATAATGAAAACACGGGCGTTGGCTTAGCGGTGTACCGCTGAAGCCGACGTTGCTTTAGCGTTGGTTTAGCGGTAGCAAACGTTGGTATAGCGGTGACGCAAGCGTTGGTATACCGGCGTTCTGCGCATGCGGTTTAGCGGCATACCGCTTGTGACTACGGAGTTGAACGGATCGTTTTGTAGTAGTACAAGTTCTGTTCTGTGTGTGTGTGGACTTATAGCTTTAATAAACATCATTTTGTTAATCTATTCTTGACTACGTTATTTAATTAATAATGAAAATAAAACTTTGCAGATTGCAAAGTTCCCCTGTGACCCCAATAAAGTGATTGCCCGTGTGACCCTTCTTTGAACATTTTACGTGTGGCCCCAAAATAATTGCACACTAGTGCACCAATCATAGCAAGTCTCTCGGCATCCAGGGTGATACAGCTTTACTGTAACTTCGAGCAAATTCGATAAAGATGAGGCCTGAACTCAACGGCAGCTCGATTCCAAATGAGCACCTGGTCCATTTCTCACCGTACTTATAGCCAAATTCTGGTCCCGCTCCGACACCTCTATACCAACGCCAAACCAAAGTTCATTGCCGACATGGATCGCTGCTTCAACGCCTGACACCGTTCCAGCAACCC